TGTGTGTGTGTGTGTGTGTGTGTGTGTGTGTGTGAGTGAGAGAGATCTAGATCTAGATCTAGATCTAACATTTATTAGGCTCCTCCTCACTTCCCCTCAACCCTCCCATGGGTCTCCATACCCCGTTTGTTGGAGTGTGTGGCTTGTGTCCGGATACAACTGTGTGTGGTAACCTTCAAAACGTGGTCTCAACTGCTTAATGAAAAGGAGCTGTGCTGAGCCTCGGAGCACACCACTGTCAGGTCTTGTACCCTTTCCGCTCTGGGGACGGAGGGAGCAAGGCACAAAAAAGAGAAGAAAAGAAAGAGAAAGAGCCCTCAGACAGTGTGTAACTGCTCTGAAACAGCTCCTGTAAAATAGATGATGCCTCCAATTAAATGTGTCCATGGGCTGGAGAAAGTTGAAGGCTGTGGAGGGTTGAATGCTACCAGAATTGTTGGCTTTCTAAACTGTGTTCTCCTGAGCCAGAATGGGCGGACTTGGGCAGTTTATGATATTTGTATTTTACACAGAATTATGCATGATTAGTTGAGCCTTTTCTTCAGAGCGCCTGATACTAAGAGAAAATAAGAATTCAAGAATAGGACTGCAGCTAACAATTAGTTTCTTTATTCGTTAGTCTTTCTATTCTTTACCCAACTCAGTTATTGGTCTGCATAATGTCACAACACAAGCTCAAGATGATAATAACTGATGTCATCATATCGCTTATGTTGTCTGAACAACCTTCCACCATCCAAAGGTGTACAGTTTACTATCACTAGAGCAGCACAGATGTATTGTTGCTCTATTCGGGAGTCGAAGTAAACACAAATGTTTCTCTCCAGCTGTGTCTGGCTGGTTTTATGGTGCTTGTTCTCCACTAGTAAAGTTAATCGTCCAGTAAATATATTTTCCGTCCACCGTGTCATTTTTACCAAAACAGTAGAAGTGTTGAGTTGATAAAACAGAGCGATGTGCTCTGTCAGTTGTGTGTCTAATTCCTGATCCAGACATGATTTCCCCCTTCAGTCTAATTTGTGCCTTCAACTTTTCTGTCCTAATTGTTTTCTACGTTAACATTGGGGGAATAAGTTGAATTCAGGCTCACTGGTGCTGGTGCGAGTGTCATGTAATGGAATAATGGGCTTGTTAAATGGACCTTTGGGGATGGGGGATCTTTAACAAGTGAGTCAGAGCAAGGCCTCTGGGCCAGGGTTATTTAAATTGTTAATAGCTGTTTAAATAGGAGGGGAATATTTTAAACACTAACGAGCAACAAGTCAGGAGCATTATTTCTCCTCTCCTGCTCCGTTTTTATCAACTGTGCATTGCTCCTCTTTTTAATGCCCCACATTTTTGTTGTGGTCATTTTGTGCAATATGTAATATTTTAACGATACAAGTCCAAATCGTACGCACCAACATGCATTTAAGGCCAGTGACTACCCAAATAATTCCCACATAAACATGAGCTCAGATATTATTACAGGAAGGACCAATTCGTTGCATTTCTTCACAGGTGTTGACAGTTTTGGGTGGAGCCTCGTCTACATTAAGTGCATGATGATGATGATGATGAAACGGTGTATCACGGTATGCAAGTAGTTTCCTCAGGAACCTCCTCATTATTCTTCTACGTTCAATTTTCTGATTTAAACTCAATATTTTTGCACCATTTGTTGCCCAACCAGTTCTTTCTCCCGGTAAGTAATGGCGTTTTTCACAGACCACTGGACAGCAGAGCTTAAATGAGACGAATGGAGATGTAGATACATGCCAGAGGATGAGCAATGCAGGGGAAGACACATGATAAAGACAATAAACAGCATGCATTCCCTCGGGAGGCGTTCTGTACATCCCTTATGGCTTAGGGTGGTGGGGGGGGTCAATTTTTTTTAATTGACCTAAACGTTGATGAAACCATGATGGTCTTTATAAAACATGTCTTAACAGAATGTGTGTAACGAGTGCTGATCGCTCAGGTTAAGCTCTCATCGGAGGCCCTTTCTCCTGCTACCTCATCCATCTTTTTATACGTTTGCAAACCTTTCCAATAATCACAAAAACCCTCTGCTGCTGCAGTCCTTGTCACACTCATTTATTTAAAAAAGCAGCCCACAGCCCTGACAGAGATAGATAGATGTGCTTATTTGTCTTTTAACAGAAGATTTCTGCAACAACTCCCTTCCTGTTTGTCCCTTGTTCTTCTCCAATGGGGACGGGGGTGGGCTTGTATTTTTTATGGTTATTAATACCTGCACTCAAGTCTTTTAATCTGCCCTATTTGTCACATGTGACTGTCTGACTGCATTGTTTAATCTGGGTATCCTTCAATCTGTCTCGTCCCAGATTAGAAATTAATGAAGGCAGGAAGAGACACATTTGAGTCACTTACAGTGTAGGGGGGGGGTAAAGGGACGGGATGAATGGGAGACGAGCGTCATTCATTTGACAGTGCTCTCTCTTTTCCCTCATCCCCTTTCTCTGTCTGTCTCTCTATCGTTCTCTCTCTCTCTCTCTTCTCTTGTTTAGCTGCCAGATCAAACAAATCCGGAATAAACACCGCCCCCCCCCCCCCCCCCCCCCCAAACAGGCGCTCAGCACGTGGGCCCTTTGGTGTGCGGCACCTGTGTAGTGTAATACAGTCAGCAACTGCGTTGTTTATTCCGGATTTGTTTGTTGCGCTTGAAAGCCCGTCTTTGATCCATGCAAAGATTCTTCACTCCTTTTCCTTTTTTTCCCGATTCATCCTCAGCCGCCCTCATTTTTAAACGCTAATACTGTCGCAGTACGGTTACACTGATGGCAGAGCAGTGGGTATTTTGATTTGGGGGGGGGGGGGTTATCCCTTTTTTTTTTTTTTTTTTTTTTTTTTGCTGCTTTCTTTTCTCATTCTCAACCCAAGGGACATTAAAATGACAGTGACCAATGACAAGCTTGTCAGGTGCCTTGTCGGGGATGTTTTATAACTGTGCGTTAATGTGTTTACATCCACAACTGACGAGTGGCTTAATGAATATTGCATTGGCTGAGTGGACCCCACTGACAGGCCGGATGCTGGGGTATTGTGCCCAAGAACTTGTTGTCTGTTTGCTAAAGCATTTTAAAGTAGGATTTCAAAAAAACAAGCTACAATATTCTACTCCCTGGCCGCCTGACAGTCAGGGTGTGACATTTTTGCACAAGGACTGCAGAATGCTCGTTTTATTATTTTTCACATTTCATTTTTGCAAATGTCAGACACGCGCTCTTCTCATCCGGCACCTGCTTATCTTACAGAACAAGTGGGTCAGGAGATTCTCTCCAACCTGAACAGTGACCGTGAGAAGATCCAAAGAGCCAGAGAGAGGGTGAGTGTACGCACATGCCACCTGCACACACTCATCTGTCTATTCTCACAAGTGTTTGTGAGACCGTGAAGATGTTACAGCTCGGTTAGCAACATTGACAAGATTCACCACTTTCTGCGTGGTTTGCCAAGTAAGCACACACAAACATGGCACACACACTTTCTCTAGGATTTTTCCCACTTTTCTTGTTCTCACCTGATCCGGGGATAATCCTTCCTCACCTACCCTCCTTTACTTCCCCAGCACTCTTCTCCACTTTCCCTCAGAGCGTCCCCGCCCACCGACCCCAAATCCTTAGCGCTGCTTCTCCATACATTCAACAGAGACAGAAAAGACCAAACACAGGAAGGGGGCTCGGCACTGACTGCTCCCTCCTAAAGACCACAACATGGCAGTGGGCCTCGCACAGGCGATTTCAAAGGAAGTCAAACATCTCCTTTCAAAACGGTCCACAGCGTCTACAGAGAGTACCTGCTCCCTGTTTATTTTGCTCTCTCTCCCTCTCTCTCTCTCTTCTTCCCATGAGTCTTCTTTGCTGAACCCCTTTAACCACATGTACACACACACACACACACACACACACACACACACACACACACACACACGCACACACTCAAGAGGGCTTTAAAGGCAGCTTGTGGGGCAGAAGCAAAGTAAAAAGAAATCAAGATCTAAAGACACAGGATGGAAGGGCTGGTTAACACCTCTTTTGCATTAAAAAGAAGGTGAAGGAGGTATAGTTTTAGCATTACTGCCAACAATCAAACCTAGCACAAACACACACACACACACACACACACACAAACCCCTATGCTCAGCAGGGGGTGTGGCCTTTTGTTTTGCTTTTATGGTACAAATAGAAGTCAATGGAAGGTTTCAACACTGGGTCGAAGCAGTTCACTCCCAACTCTGAACCACAGTGGATTGAAGAATGTTGTTTTATAATCCTCCAGGCCAGCTCGGACGCAGACAGGTATTAGGGGGGAACGTTTTAATATTAATTCCCTAAAATTAGTATATCCTTGAATCAATAATTCCCCGGTATAAAATTATTAATTTGAGGGTATGAATCCTAAATTTAGGGAAGAAAATACGCAATTTGTGTGCACAAATTATTAATTAGTTCCGACCCCCCCTAATGAATAATTCTCGACTTCAAATGACTAAATCAGGTTACCACATGTGTCCTCTCTCTTCTCTATTGATGAAATGAACTTTGCATTATTTGTCCATCTTTGTGTAATCTCAAATTATTGTAGGCACCATGAATGTCTTTGCTGCGATGAATCCTCTCGTTCCTTCCTCCATGTAGGCAACTGCAGTTCATTTTAGACACTCAACTGTGCTAAAATTTGAGTTGGCTTCCATTTTAGGTTAAGGAGGATAGCATGAGATTTGGTGAGAGGCTGAGGAGAGAAAGCGAGGAATGGAAAGAAGGAATGATTCAGAGAGAGATGTATTTTGGGAGAAAGTGTGAAGTATCTAGGGGACAGATCTGTGGGTAGAGGCAGACATCAGGCAACTGCAGGACTTGTTGTCTTTGCCAGAGGGCCCATACCCCAAGTCCCCCACCTCCTACCCTGTACCACATGTATCTTTGGCTCTCGCAACCTGCATCGCACCAACACAGGCTGCCAGAGGGTGGGAAGGAAGGAAGGATGGAAGAAGAGGAAAAAAGTAGCAGTAAAGGAGGGGTGGGAAGAAAGGGCGGATTGAGAGATGACTGCAAGATGAGCCAGAACAAACGGGGGGGGATTAGTGATGCTGGAGCCATTGTAGAGGAGAGGAAGGTTGGAAGAAGAGATGTGAAAGTGAGGAATTAAAAATAGAATACATGTCATTATAATACACTGATGAAAACATACTGATTGAGAGTGGCTTTATTATCTCAGAGAGATGAGGATGAATTACTCCCTGCTGACTCTCAGAGAGAAGCTCTCTGCACAAATTCTTCCCCACATTCCCTCATCATCCTCTGGAAATGCGATTACAGATAGACGTATGTGGCAGCTCCCTTTAGTGCGCTGTCAGCATTTTATTTTTATTTTTTTTGTCACACTCGCACCTTGTTGGCAACATCTCTGCCAATTCCTTTTTTTCCCAGTAAAAGTGCCTACGCCTTATAAGAGGATAGAATGAAAACATCTCCCTGACCCCTGAGGGGAATAAAGACAGAGAAAGAAGAAGATGATGGAGCTATAGAAAGGGAAATATTCAAGGCAATTAGCCCTGAATAGCCATGTTCATTATTTCAAGTGTGCCTTCAAGGACTCCCTGAGCTTGTTACGTATGTCAACAGTCAAGGGCCCTTCTCACTATTTTTCTCACACCATCCTAATGTTTGCTTTGCAGCGAGGTGAGCAGATGGCTATTAGAATGACATGACCTCCTAAGTGGGAATCTGCCGTTGAAGACTTTTTTTTAAAGTTACAGAGATGTTCTACCTGTAAACAAACAGCTCAGGACGGCTCACTTGGTATTAAAGGTTATGTTATGTTTGGGTAAATCTTGCAGCTTTTCAAAGTGGATCTAAAGGTATGTTCAGTCGGGTTTGTCTCGAGACGGGTAAACCAGAAACCTAAAGCAGAAAAAAAAAGAAGCTTCTTATCAAAGGATCTTTGATTCATCCCTCTAGCTCGCAACCAACAACTTTAGGTGGAAGGATAAAATGTCAAACTTTAGAGGTGCCTTCTGAAATTGCCCTTGAGCAAGGTACTTTGCCTTGAGGCCAGTAGTACAAGGCTGTGTAACAGTATAGCCTCGCACAAGCTCAAAGTAGCACTGTAACAACTGCGATGGCTTTAATGTTGTAACACGTTTTCAGCAATTAAATGTTTCTGGTCGAAAACAAAAAAACGTTAATTCATCAATAAAAGGTTTTAATAGCAGTGTGTTTTATACTCTTTTTAAACTTGATTTTTCACTCCTGTAGTTTCGACGTAGACTGTGTTTAATAACCTGGAGAATTGTTGAATCAGAATGCAAACTAAAACCTGGTTTTCCCCGGTTCTGTCCCCGCAGCTGAGAGAAACGGATGCCAACCTGGGCAAGAGTTCTCGCATCCTTACTGGCATGCTGAGAAGGTAAGAGGCAGGTACGCACCTCGTTTCTGCACCTCTCTGTATGTACCATGCTTTGACTGTGCCGTGAGCTCGCTCCATGTCATCACCGGCCGATTTAAGTTTATTATTAAACGATCCATCTTTCTATTTATGATGAGTTGCAGTTGGCCACATTGCTTTGATTTTCCAGAGAACACAGGTGGGGATGGATAAACAAACAGAAGAACATGTCAATGAATGGATGAATGAACACACTATTTGTATTTGTATAAAGAAATACTAAAAAACACTTACTGTACATTTGATCGAACAAACTGTGTGAATGGCTGTTCTGTTACACGCAGTGGTATTGGTGTTAAGTTCCAGTAAAATGCTGGAGAAGACGAGTACACACTGTGCATGTCTCCATTCTTTTCTTCTCTGTGCCTTTTGTTTTTCACAAAATGCACTAAACAACCCATGTCCAACTTGCAGTCTTTGTCTCGCTCGCCTGCTAGTTCATGCACGAGGCATCCCCCAACAATCGCACAAACACAAGCATTCACACGCAAATATTTCAATAGTCCTTGGATTATCTTATGCAACCGCCACCTTACACACACACACACGTGAACAGTCTCGCACGCACGGACACACACATCTCCATTTTATAAAGTGCCTGTGTGCCTACCCCTGAACCGTGACGCCACGGTTTTGTTTCTCGCTCCCTCTTTCTTGTTTTTTTTCTCTCTCCCTGTCGCCCACTGTGGATTTTGATTAAGAGTAATATGTAAATGACACCGACTAAATGTAAAATCCTGGGGCCAGGAAGGAAGTGTCAATTGAAATAGATGCTTCAGTGCCCGTAGACAATTTGGAGGGCGGCTCACAGGGCGGCCGGCAGTTACTAGAGAGGGAAGGCCTGAGAAGGGCTGTGACGCCGACTGTAACCAATATTTCTGCATATGTCTCCATTTTGTCAAGTCTGATTATGGGAAGAGGAGGAGGATCGCGGTGGGGGGGTGGGGGTGGGTCAGCTCGCCTGGCACGTCACCCGAAGCTGTCCAGAAATCATTCATCATTCCCTCCTCCTTGCCTCTTTTCTTCCCTCCACCCCCTTCTGGTGCTGAAGTAAATAACACACTTATTTCAATATTATCATATTAATTTTAAAGTTCAGCTGTCACCTAATGGGAAGACTTAATCAGACGTAGCATTTTAGGAGGCAAGCTGCCCCCCACCCCTCCCCCCCCCACCCCTCCGACTCTCCAGCCTCCTCTCTTGACGTGTCTTTCCTCCTCTGGTTAGCGCCCCGCTCAAATCAGGATTTATGAGGGCCCTCCAAAGTGGGGCCCGGCGGCGAGCATCTTCCACTTCTGCCCGCCTTTCTGCTTGATGGGAGCAGCGCAACATCCCCCCCTCCCCTCCCCCCCATCATTCTTTGACAAAAAGTATTTTCTTTCTTTTCGTTTCTTTGCTGTTTGAACAAAAGGAAGCGTGTTTTGTTGTAAGTTTATGGGCTGGAAACGTCAAATCTGAAGTCATTTATAACCAGAGCTGGAGAACTGAGAGCGAAAAGTAAATTCTGGATGGTTCAATGATATTTCACCCCCCCCCCATCCCCTTTTAGGCAATTTGTCCTCATTTCCCCATTCATTTCACTATTTGCTCCCCCAGTTTTCTGCCTTTTGATTAATTGTGTATTTGTGTGCGATGTCAGAGCATTTGTAGTTTCTTTACACTGATGGTTTTGGTTTGGGGGTAGTTACTCTGTCATTCTCCACTTGTTTGTCTCGGCTATAGAAGTAGTTTATTTCTTTAGGTAACAGGAGTAGAGGACTTTTACGAATAGGTGAGTAAGTGAAGTAGACCTAACCTGTTGCACTTATGACACAAACCTGATATGGACACAGACACTCGTACTCGGGTTTATATTCCATCTTTTTGTTATAATAAGCTAAATGTAAAAGCCTCTACAATCATTTTGTCCAGGCAAAGAGCTGTGAAAGATTGATTTACATCAATAACAGAGAGATTTAGCATTGTTTTCCTTATACTGCGATAGTAGCAGATGCATAAATACTGCAGCGATTTTAAGTTAATTATAATCAGTCAACACGTTGGCCTTCATCAGTGGTGAGACAAATAGATCCACGGGATAATTGGTGTCCTTTTTCCACTGTTGGTGTAGCATTTTTTTTAACACCTCTTCTTGAAGTGTCCTTATGGTCTCAGGGTTTCACCCCAGCTGAAAAACAATTAGACACTCATTACGCTAGCTGTCAGAGTTCAAGAAAGCCAATTAACTGAAAGACTTTGTGAATATCACTTATTGTAAGAAACATTCAGAAGCACACACACATCTCCAATAGCTGTTGCTTTGTTTGAAAATGAATCTAACAAATGTCTGTCTGTGAAACTCATCACTGCTAAGGAGGGTAGTTAGTATAACGCACTGTATAGGTGCTTTTCTGTTGGCTGGGTCATGATGACGAGTCTTCCTCTGTCTCATGTCACGTCTTCATTTACTCAGTGGATGTTAGTGGTCTAGTGGTGGGCATCCAGGGCATCCACTTTTAGTTAATTTTTAATTCAATTTTCTGAAATCCTTTGGGTTTTAATTATAACGTGACAGGCACAGTGATCCTAATGAGGCAGAGAGGCAAACCTGATATCTTATTAATATCTATGATCATCAAAAGATCTATTATCATTTCATTTACTTCCTGTTGAGCGTTACCTCCACAACCTTTGCACCGCAAAGAAAATATCTTTTTACAACTTTGATTGGTTGCATTTCTTATTGAAAAAAAATACTGAAATACTTGGTGATTTAGGTAAATCCAATGTAAAATATTACATCAGCATCTAATCCAGGTAGTGGTTTTAGATTTTAATCCTTGTTGCCATCAAGCAATACCATCTCAAATTGCTTCATACAGACAAATTTCCCCCTGGGAATGAATAAAGTATATATCTATCTGTTTGTTGACAGTGAATAAAACACAGATTTATTCGGGTCTGAAATTGACCTAATTTGTAAAATTAGACCAGCAGCGGGCTTGTCTTTTATCAACCGAGGCTTTAAGTGGGTCTGTAAAATAAACACCTCAAAACACCACAAACTTGAGCGAGCATTTAATCCCCACAGGCTGAATTATTCTCTCTCATTACTCTCTTGTGTCGTAGGATTTATGGATGTAAACTTTGTTTCGTGGATTTCCCTTCAAACTAATTGGTCTTCATCATCCACCCAATTCAAAGTGTGATTTTCCAGTTTGATAGATGTATGGCTTTGGTACAGTCTGCATTGCGACGGGTTACAGCTCACAGCGTGGACCACTATCCCCGATTAAAGAAGCCACAGACCTTTTGATAAGGCATCTGTTGTTTACAAGGCGTAATGACACTATGGCCTCTCGTAAATGGCCCTGTGACTGTGGCGTGAGCCTTCCTGCTGCTATACTGAAACATCTCAAGCACCTCACACACCACGGTCGGATCAGTTGGGAGTGGGATGCGGCTCCAGACCCAGTTAGGACCACTTGGGCTCCTGGCAGCTTCACGGAAGGAGGGGGCACAGTGAAGGGCAATGAAGCCGGACGAAGAGGGGGGAGGATGTATATTTTGAAGCAGAGGGGTTGTCTACTCTCGCTGGCAGCTGATCCCACATGCAGGTGGTCGACTCAGTCGCCAGGCAGATCAAAAAGTCAAGGCCCCGGGTGGACCTCCCTTTGAAATGGGAATGGGGCCTAGATATCAGACAGAAAACATAAGCAAGCTCCCAGCCACAGAACAGCTCCATATTCATGGCTGGGACTGGCAGTAGCGATGGGCAGGCAAGACGGACAGAGCCTCAGCCTTCAGAAGAGGACTCATGCACACTCTGGACACTGATTAAGAGATCAGCCCATGAGCCAGGGATGAGGATGATGCAGTCGCTCACAAGTGGATGCAGCCGCACTGTTACCAAGACACCAACTTCCTTTCTTGAAACGTGTCTCGACAAGCTGTCTTAATGTGCAGCCCAGTTAATTTCTTTGATTTTCCCCTGCAGGTACCTCTGGCAAGTTGAGTGCCAGAGGTACCTGCAAATAAGAACAAGCCCCTGAGTTATGCCATTTATCATTTACTTAAATGAAAATTAAACCCGTTTCATATGACTAATTGGCAGTATGTACAACTCATCCTTGCCTGTAGGAAAATCAAAAGTTTCCTGCCTGCGTTATTCACAGGAAACTGGAAGGTTTTTTTGCCTTGTTTGCTCGGCCCAATAAACACCCACGCGAACAATGTCATGAGCCGAGAGACCTTAGTGCATGGCCCCCCAATAAAACATCTGGAGACGGAAACCTTTGATAAGATCTGTAAGTTTTGCCTTTATCCTGTGCTATTGGCAAATATATAATCTCTCTCGCTCTATCCATCTGTCTGGAATATTAACTACTGGGATATATGTAGGTCACATAATTAATGGCATTCAACTCTACCACTGAGCTGTGGTGGGATCGGAGTCTCGGGGCCCTCTTGATGTCTCGTTATGAAGTTGAACAAAAAGATTCAATTTTTTTTTTAATTGAAGCTGAAAGATGTGGAAGATTGTAGTTCAGATGTTTTGCTGTTTTTTTTTTCTTTTAATTTATTTATTTGTGTTGCCCTTTTTTTTTAGGCTGCGAAGAGCAATATAAAAACATAATTACAATGTTGTGGGGTCAGGAGAGTCACCCCAGTGGAGCACTGGCAGGCTTTCTGGCTCTGTGCTCTATCATTATACCTACCTATACATTTACAATCCTACACATTCCTATATTTCTTCTTATTCTGTGTTTCACCACAACACTGGAGCCATATCTTTGACATTGTGTAAGACATGTCCTATTTTGCGTTCTATTTTACTTTTGTGCTACAGCTGAACTCATCTCAGTAGCCATCGCCGAGCTTCGTGTTTTCTGTCCCGAGAGTGGCAGATCACTCCCAGTGGATCCCGCTCTCTCTGATCTCCTCTCCATGTTGCTGCCACGATAATTCCATGTACTACGTTTAAACACATTCCCTTTGCTTTGCAATTTGTTCAGCCTGGCGTCACAACCACCCCCCCCCACCCCCATCCCTCTGGGTCAGTCCTATCCCTGGCCTTTTCTGACCCCTCCAGGGAAGCATTCTGTGCTTTTCATGTCCAGTCTGTTTTTATTCTGGCAAAGGAGCAAAGTGCCAAAGCATGAATCGTATCTGACCTCACTGCAACCCCTTGCTAAACTTTATACACATCAAGTTGAGCGCAGCTGTTGTGTGCATGTGCGTGTATGCATATTATGGGTATGTTCAGTGGATTAAAGGTAGCGTGTCAGCCTGGAAAGGTGTTTGCTACCGTTGGCAGGCAAGCAAGTAGTACAGGAAGACCTTTCTGGTCATTAAGGCCCATCTCTTATTGAGGGGGGAAACAATAATAATACATACATTTATAATTCAACTTCTTTATTTGGATCAAGTTAAGTCACTTTCCTGTTTTGAATGTCAGATAAGTGTCTTGTTTGGAGATACTTTTTAATGTCTGTGTGTGTGTGTGTGTGTGTGTGTGTCTGTGGCTACAGGCTGCTGCTGGGAGAATGACAGGGTGCGCCTCAGCCTCATTACTCACTGCTCCTGAGCCAAACAAGCACCACTGCCACCCCTCTCTCGCTCTCTCTCGCTCTCTCTCTCGCTCTCCCTCCTGCTTTATCTCTGTCTTTTTCTCTCTTTCTCCACCTCGCCCATTAGAGAGTGCTGATGGGACGTTTTTTGCAGAAAGGAAAAAATACACACACACACACACACAGAACCCTGGGTTGTATAGAAGAAGGGGTTGTTGACAAGGGCAAAGACGTGTTGTTGTTTTATATAAGGGATGCATTTGTCTGGTGAGGATTGACTCGCTTAACTGGCTGCCAAAGCCCCCTTTTTCTTCCTACATGTCTCCCTCTCTCTATTATCCAGCCTATACCGGGCTTCTGTTTTTTGATAGGTCGGGACACAGATAAAATTTAATTATTCCAAACATGGCGGTGAAGAAATTCTTTATGTTTTTAAAAAAAAACAGTTGTAGACAGACAGCTAGCTTTACAGATAGTAAATTGTGAATACTCTCAATTCATTTTAAGGTAGAAGGCATTTGCAATGAAAGCACAACAAGCAAAAACTATGGTAAAATATTGAGTGAAACTGCTATATCAGCACAATCTAGTCCCAGATATGGACATCAAGGCTGAACTTAAGCATTCCAACAAAAAAACAACACTCTTTGCACGATTACTTCTCCAAATGCTCGAGGGTCAGCCATCCATGCCGTTGAGGTGATGCTCCGTTCGACCTCGCTCATAGCATCCCAGTTGATGGAGCTTCTTTTTTCCCCCTTGCTTTAACCCTGACAGACTGTCGTTCTGACGAGATGACTGGAGATCAGTGGCGCTCTCATCCCTTGAAGTGGCTCCAGGTGTCACTCCAAGGGTACCCGCCCTGTTTGATCTGCCGTCGAGCGCCTGTCGGGCTACGGCACCCTCTGATTTCCCGGTCAGAGGGGAAAGAGGCTCTCCTTTCCAAAAGTTCTACAGCTACTTTTGAGTGACAGCTAGGGAGAGTGCTTGGTGGCTAAAACCGCAGCCATAAGTGTTTCCTGTCATTATTTCCTAACTCCCAGTTTGCAGCTATAGGGAACCCTCCTCACACACCCCCTCATGGGAGCATTGTATAGAGGTGATCTTGATGTTATATGCTAGGTCCCAGCAGTCCAAACAACAGAAAAGGAAACAAAATAAACATCAGAGGAAGCCAAACCATTTTCACTGATCATGCTGTGCGCCTTGTCTTAAGAAGAACAAAAAGAATCCTCTCAAACATCTTCAGATGCTGTCCAACGGAGGTCCCTGTCTTCACTGAGGAGTCGCACAAACAAAAAGGACAGATGAAACAAAATGGAGGAACGGAGGTATATAGCTTTTCAGTACACATAGATGCCTCTATCCTTCCTCTCTTTCATTTTATTATATCCGTTACATTTTTTTTCCCCACCTACTGTGAGCTTCTTCAGAAATTACAGGTGAGATCTCAGTCTGTGGCAGGGCCTGCCTTTCGTCTAGAGGGAGCAGGGGGAAGGGTGTGGGGTTTGAGGGGAGGGAGGGAGGGAGGAAAGACTGAGGAGGAGAGGAAAAAGAGATTCATGCTTTGCAGTACTGCTGTGTTGTTTGTGGCACTCTTCCCTTTGTGTGTCTGGCGATAACTTATTCAGCACAGGGCCATTCATCCAGGGGTTGAGCGCGGGCGTCCGTCAAGACGGAAAATAATGAGGCGACAGTGGCGCAGAGGATAGCTTTCTCCCTCTGCCTAGGTAGCCCCCTCCAACTCCTCCTCCCCTTCTCCATCTCCTCCTCCTCCTCCTAGCCTCCCATTATCAGCCGATTTAAATAGATAATAGGGGGCCTTCTTCAGGACATTTTGAAGCAATTAGAACCTATCACATTGTCTCTTATTTGACTGTTGTTCCCTCCCAGCAAGCCATCGTGCATACTTTTGGGCATACTATGCAACAGCTGCCTGGAATATTGTGGAATGCCACAGCATTACTGGATGCCAGTATTTGTGTCAATGAGAAAATGAGGCTATTTTGTTCCCTATATCATGCAATAGACTCGGTATCCATATGCGCATGTCGGCCTCTATTCCATCTTGAGCCATGCCAGGACATGGGATCCCTTTGCCATGATAAGTTGCTCTTGGGCAGCATTGCTTGCCAAGATAAAGTGGCTTGTGCCCAAAAACTTGCACTATACATACCTTCCCTGAACTTTCAGTCAGCTCTCATTTTGATTATTTCCCTCACCATCTTTGTACAGTTCATTTTGTTGGCTAAAAACATACAGTGGCACACACCAGTTGGAAAGGGAAGACCTCAGCCCCATGTGCTCGTGAACTGCACTATTCGAAATTATTACAGCTGATAACTTAATAGGGAAGCATGTCCAATAGGGTTCAAGATTGTAGTTTGCGACTATGTATACTTTTTATTCCCGACAAAGCTATCCAAGTAGTTTTTCAAAACAGTGATAGTCTCAACAAATCTAAGTCAGCTGTCTAAATCGTGTTTGCATCAGGATAGATGGTTAAGTATAGTTTTTGCTGTTATTGTTGTTGCCCCTCAGATCTCTCTTTGTCAGAGTGCAAGAGCTTGAAATATTTACAAATGCTGAATTTTGACTCGTTTTCTTCTTCTTTTTAATATTTTCTTCCAACCCATCAATCATTTACTGCGCCTCTGTATGTCTGTATCTCATCCGAACAGACCCCCAGGATGGTGCAACGAAACAAAGGCAGTACACTGTTGCCATGTTGTTGATGGCATAAAAGATCCCCTTTATCACAATGGGCAAAACAATAAAAAGAGGACCACTTTTCTTCAAGGAAGTGAAAAGGTTGTAAGGCATTTGTAGGCATCGGGATTAAAGAGGAGCTCCTGTCAAAATACTTAAACGGAGCATTGGTCTCTTTTCGAAGCAAAAAGCCTAACCTTGAGTGCTTTTATACTTGACACAAAAATATGATTTTGATTTTTTTCTATACCAAAGGCTGGAAGGCAGAAGGACTGACCCCATCACCCGACCCATCCCATACTTTGGTTTGGTGTTGCTTGCTGGGAAGGGCATTTAGAAAACAAGGCTTTAAAAATATCTTATTTGCCCAATTCAATCTCTGTCTGTTTACTATTAAATTAAATCCATCTTATTTTCCCTCTTTTGGCGTAGGAAATGAATTCTTGGGTCATCAAGTCATTATATTTTAGGTCAATAGTTTCATTATTCAATAGTAGTAAATAGTGAAATTCCTTCTCACTTTTTGAAGCTATATACTTCTCTGCATTGTATCCAATGCTATGGATAGACACTTCGTCTCAAAGAATCTTTAAGTGGTTAAGTGAATCACTACAAACTTTTGTTGTGCATTGACTTTAGAAAATGACTAATACATTCAAAGAAGCCATCATTTTAAACTGCTACTGCAGCCTGTAGACTGTATGTCATCCTTGCAACGCTAGCAGTCCAAGGCCTTCTTATCATGGTGAAATAGATGTATGCAGCTACTGTTTGTTATCCATAGCCTCATAGATTGGGAGCATTTCAATTGCCTCTCAATGGCTCTCAGCATGGGCCCGACTGTAGTGGTTAGCTAACAGTGCTAACAGAGCAAACAGTCCAAACTATGGCAAAAAATGGTGACAGAGCTAACGGTGTTTACCTGAGGGGAAACTGGAGGTTGGATGCTACTCTTCCCGTTGTCAGCTGTAACCGCCATATGACATCAGTGCAGAGCAACGGCTCGGAGCTGGTCAATGGGGCACGCTCACATGCACGAACATGCACCAAAAGCACACGTGCCAGCAAAGCAAGGAGGGGATTGGATAACAGCACAGACAGAGGGAGAGTGACTTCCTTTTCTGCTCAGGTACACTGATATCGTATCGGCACTACTGTTGCTCCAAGTCTCTCTCTCTCTAGATTCATTTGTCCCAGCATTCCAGTGAAAGCATAGTCGGACATCAGATCACAAAGGTCCTCCCTCTTTTCATAATGGATGCCTCAAACCATCATCTTTTGTAGCCAAAGTCGTAAGGACAAAGCAGAGTTATGCCACAAAAGCCTGTAGAACCTTGATCAGTGGAGAAAACCCCAGTGAGATCCAATGCCCATAGCGTCCATTTTTAGCCCAGAGACCATAGGAAGTTTTCTAGATGTTGTATAATTAGACGGTATGCAGTTAATCCTAAGGGACCGTTTGGCAGGCCCCGTCTTTCCACTCACAAATTTTTCAATGTATAATTGTCTTCAACTTCTCAGTCATGGCTTTAAAATGATGCTTCTTATTGCTATAAAAAGTGTTGACAGTTACAGTCAACACTTCTTATAAAGGGGTCAAATGGACACATATACCTTGATACGCTGATGATCTAGCATCATTGTGAAAAGAGATTCTCTCATGACATACCCTGGCTGAGAAATTTGAGTCAAGTGTAGTACACGTTAAAGCCCCTGGCCTGGCTTGGGTTTTGGGGAGTGAACCAGCCATGCACGGCTGGTAATGACAGGTTCCATGTTGCCCGTGGCTTGTGGCCCACAGCACTGTTTGTTTGGAGAGTGGTGCTCGGCCGTGAAGTGCTGGCCCAGCTGGCAGCAGTTCCGTTGCCCCTTTGGCCCGATGGCTGGGGCTTGTTTGGCCCACACCAGCCAGGCAGACTGGCATCCAGGAGTCTGTGGAGTAAGAGGTGGGGGGGGTCTGACAGAGTAGAGGAGCTGTTGGCTGAGCACCCTAGTGCTAGGCCAGGCTTGTTGCCAACTGGAGAGAAGACTTCCCCACTCCCACCAGGATCTTCACGTCTCTGTGGCGACAGGGATCTTAGTTTGCACCTCAAGGGTCAACATCATCCCATCGTGATCTGTCTCAGCTTGAACAACCTTGCTCCCAGAACAGCACTGAAAACTTTGCAAATATACATTTTGATTTGCCCCCATATTGTAATGTAACACAAATATAGTTTTTTACACACACGCATGCATACACTTTGCCTTCACAGTCCAAAAGTTCAGCTGCCCGTATTGCATCTGCCAAGGTTCTTGCAGCGGTGTGAAAATGAAAATGCTGACCTATCAAGTCGTATTCCCTTCACTCTCTGGAATGTTATTTTCAGGATTAGTTCCTATGTTACTGGCAAGAGGAAAAATAAATGAATGCTAATCACAGTTTACAAAAAACAAACATTAACTCATTTTAAAAATGAAATCAGCAAAAAGTCTTTTGATAAATATTTTGATTGTATAACAAGAGGTTATGAACTCTCATAACTCTTTCAATGTGCCAGGCACTGTAAGTTACAGCAGTTAAAGACTATTGTACATCATGCAGCTGATTTGAGCAACAAGCATCACGACTGCTATACATGGCTCTTATCTTAGTCTGCTAGGCACAAAGATGACCCCCACATAAATATTCTGTAAATTCTAAACCATCACTTGAAGCCCTGAAAACCATTGCCTCTCAAAATGTAGAGCCGCTTTGTTTATTTTCTGAGTGTTTGCTAGGTCACATGGACATCCTGTCAGCCGTAGTGTAAACTTTAAACCCCAACCCTTATTCTGATGGCGCCAGGGCTAACATTGCTTCAGTGTTAAAGGGAAGTTGTGAGGACATTGATGTCTTGGCCTAGCATCCTAGTGTCACATTCCCAGCCTGTTTGTGGAGCCCGCCAATCTCCTCATTCTCCTCAGCTGACCTGAATGCATCACCGAGTATAACACACATGTGAGGAGCCCGATATCCCAGCCAACAACAAATGTTTTCCTACCGTTACCATTGCATTACTATCGTACACAGCCTCCGTATTTTGACCTGGCTCACACTGAGGCTCTGTCGGTTAGATATTTTGCATGACTCTTCAGGCCAAGACTCTATTTTATTTAACAAGACGTCGATGCACACCCATCCCATCTAAAAGTTTCCCTGTGGTATAGTGTTTCAGAACAGACTTGACATAAACCATTTCTAAACACTGGTTTCCTTTTTACCAATCTTTAATTACATCGTTTGGTAGAGGCCGAGGTACAGAGTTGAAGCAAAGCACCATGTTAGCAATGCGTATAATAGTGAGGGATACCACAGCCAGAGGACAGTGGGTTGAGAAGAGGGAAAATATCGTACACGAGCAGATGCTGAAAGAAAGCCTAAGGTGTTAAGGGTTCACAGACTTTAAAAAGATATTTGACAAATTAAGTATGGCGAGAAGGTGGCTTGGTTGACTTTTAGCATTTGATTTGTGATCTAACGTCTGGTTTGTGATGATAGTATTGGAGAGTTATCAATTGAGAGATTTGTTGTCATTTTCAGAGCATCTTAACTTGCGTGAGGTGCTACATATTACTATAAACATAGAAATAGTTAACACAGTTCCTCGGCCTTGCCCTCTGAATGAACCTCAACATGTCAAGACAACGGTCCACGTTCCCCATTCCGATATTAATTGTACGTATTGCAAGATTCCCGACTGATGCCAGCACTATTACAGCATTGTTGCTAATTAAATTGGCGTGGTTATTTTGTGCCCGTCTTTCATTTATTTTTTTACTGTTACCTCATTACTCAACATATTTCAGCTTATTGTCAAGAGGCCAGCCATGGTCAGTCAATTAATTCTAGGTATACAAACTATTGGGTTGCATTTCAGTTGCACAGTGTTTCAGTGTATTATGGTGCCATGAAGAGTATCATTGTAGCCCAGAGCGATGGATAAGCCTTCCTCCAGCTCTGTGACAAAGGCGGCTGTGAGGTCGTGCCCGAGGCCAGGACTATCAGAGCTATCAGTCCTGCAGAGAAAGAGCATAACAACAGGCCCTGTCAAATAATGGTGTCAACACTGGGATTGTTGAGCTTCATTTGTGCAAGGAATGTCCCTGGTTTAATGGTGACACCACGCTGTCTATTGACTCAATATGGGTCAGATTTTACCCTGTTGTTGATTCTGTTCCGTTCTCTGAGCATGTTTTGCCGTCGACTAGTGTATGGTAGTTTTATTCTGTACGTTGATTTGAAACATTTCCCATTCCTCAAACTTTAAGATGTCACAGAGGTCGGTTGTTAAGGATAGTTGGCCTAAAGACATAGATGTGGGAGGTGACATGGTAACTCGTGTTTTACTGATGCTTTTCTTGCCTCCCACTTAGACCTGTGTTGTATTTTTATTAAGTTTGGTTGTAGCTCAGTCTTCGATATGAAGTAGTAGGAATAATCCTGAAAGTCTGGCAGTGATTGTGTAAGATTTAAGGCCTATTGTCCCTGAGCTCAACTTACAAATGGTCTCTTCAATTGCTTCTTAGTGATCTGCAGTTATGATGGGCAGACACCACTGCATCTTTTGCTTTTTAAACATGGCTTTTGTTCACATGCACTTAATGGTTTTGAGCAATAAGATCTATGTTGAGAGAAGAGGTAAATGCGGCCATGCTTCTGTGAAGGAGTATTTCTGGATAGCGAGTTGCCTTCTGAACTCTCAGAATGTCCGTTATTATTTAGCCCCCTCTGCCATGCCTTACCCTCTGAGTTTCAGTGCTTCCTTTACCTGACGGGCTGGATAAAATGATTTCTTTTCTCCCCTCTTCTTCTCTAGTCGGTGTATTGCTTCCACCGCCACGCCACATCCCCCTCCCTCTCTCTTAACGGTAAATGTTAAGATCCAGGAGTGGATCAATGGCTGTTATCCTTTGATGTGCTAGAACACATTACGAGCGGTGAGTTCTAATTGGAGCAGAGAGCTGAGGATCAATGTTGGCTGTAATTGCCTGACACAGGGATAGGTGTGAGACTTTATTATCATTAATATTTAGACATGATGTGGGAGGAACCAGCCAAGGCTAAATGTACAACGGCGGTGTGAGCCTTTGATCTCGGCAGATAAGCAGATCGATTGGGGGGTTGGTGGGGGGGGGGGCTGAAGGAAAAGAGGTCGCGGAAGTGTGGCGAGCTGGACGGACGAATTAGCGAGGCTCTCATCCTGGATTTTATTGGATTTCTTGGGGAAGTTTCCCTTCGGCTCGGGAAAGGTCACGCTAGGCCTCAGACCTCCCCATAGCTAAAATAACAACCTGGTATCTGGTCAGCGTCAAGGGAGGAAAGAGGGCAAGTGGGTTTGATTTCAACTTTGGTCACAAATTGGAGACAACCATTTTATTTACACAATGGACACCATTAGGCATTCATTAATTCAGTAGTTACTGAAAGAGCAAAAAGTTCCAAATTAACCATGCCCTTGTTTTGGCGTTTTTGTAACCCTCACATGGTTTAGTTTTTCTCCAAGAATCTCAGTTGTTTAGGGATGGTTTGAGATTTAGTAGTGAGAAGAAGGAAGGATGAATAGATATTTAGTGTTTGTCTTTTTGACAGGGTCCATTGTTTGGGAGACGTAACAGAATATGACGACGGAAGGGGCCCTACGGGGCTCAGGGCTGCTTCCTTGGTGTCAGCAAACACAAGATGCTGTTACCTAATCTTACTGGTAAAGGAGTGGGACTGTCTCGTGGAACACTCCCTGTCTAGCAGCGTGACCAGAGGGGGCAGGGACCATCTATCCCCTGTGTCCGTGGAGGCTAAGTGCACGCTGACACTGTGCGGCTGTGATGTATACGCTCAATTCTGTCTCCTCTGTTTTTGTCACCGGGCTCCCCAGGGACTGATACCTTAATCATTGTACTTAGCGGGACAAAGATGGGTAACCGGTCGCACAATAACAGGTGTGTTAGTTTTCATGGCTGTGACCTGCTGCCTGATGTCGGACAGAAGGATAAGCCCGGCAGGATCCAGGTCAGCAGGGACAACGATCCGGAGAAGAGATTAAGTGAGGGGGTGATGTGTTTTAAAATGACACAGACTTGACAGTTCTCCACAGAAGTCCACCAATCAATTACTCAGAGAACCAGTTCTCCAGGTTGCACCTTTTATATGAGAACTTGAGCTTGAATCGCTTTACAGTTGCAAAGAGACAATTACAGGTAAAGACATAAAAGAGAGCAACAAAGGGTCCTCTGTGTTCATTCAGTGCATATCAGAAATGACATGAAAACATTTACCATTGCATTATGAGCCATTGTGTTTGAAAGACTGTGTTTTAATCACATTTATTGTTTATTGTTTATTTGGATCCCCATTAGTTGTTGCCTTGTCAATGACTACTGTTGGCGTCAACTACTCTTCCTGGGGTTCATGTAAAACATATAGTCTATGATTATACTCTAATGCTGTGTACAGTACATGCAGTAAATAATACAGTGTGTTTTTGAGAGCTGCATTATTGATGAAAAACAAGGAATACAAGGCCAAAATTTCCTTGGATTAGATTTTAAGTAATGCACGCAATTGCTGATTATGTAACAAACGTAGTAGCAGATTACCACTTTTCTCTTCTACACATCTTTTCATTACTGCTTTTTCATTTTTTAAATGCAAACCTACAGATGTTGAGCAGTATTACCGATGAGTCCGCTTTGTCTTTACATTCATTGCTTTTCATTCAAGTGTGCATCCCTAACAGTACATTGTGCAGAGGCTAGTACCATTGTGGAAATCCTCAGGGTTGTGCAACAAATGGCCCATTATGTAACATTTGTATCACTACACCAGCTTCAGCAGTGTTAACACATATATGTATCTATTGTGTTTGGTTCTGCAAATGTGCACAAAGCCTGCACTGTCGATGAACCTACTGTAGTAACCAAAGACGAGGAGGTTCGCTCAATTACGACTTCAAAATATACGCTTAAATAATAAACGTGGTAAGCAAAACACGCATATCTTGGCAGAAAAGAGCGGACATTTGCCATGTAGAACTTTGCTTTTCATCAATACTAAAAGCCAGCGTTCTTTTCTCTTTGAATACGTGCTCTACGGCCAGCTTAGGTGTTTTTACCGTCACAGCTCCGTGTTTCCAATGTGCCCGACATTTTCAAAGTTCTTGTTTAGCCTCATGTAAGAGGCTCGTCTTTCGACGGTTAATGTTAGCTCAGTATGCTCAGTACTTGGTATGCTCTCTTGTGTGCCCGAATGTGTGCGTGAATCTATCTGAAGTGTGCTGTGTGTGTGTGTGCATGCTCGCATTTGTCTTTATATCTGCTGTGTGTGCGTGTGTGCACACGCCTGAGCGCATGTGAATGAGGGAGTGAGATAAGAAGGAGATGAAGAGTCGTTCAGAGGAGCTTTCTCACTCAGAGGCGTCTCCATCTGTTCGCCCGGGCCTAATTGTTCCTGGGTGCAAAGACTGGGGGGAAAAAAGAGAGGAAAGCAACTGTACTCATCCCCTATCCCTAAGTTATTTCTGTAACATTAAAAAAGCACCACCAGCATGCTCCAGATTATTGCCATGTAAATAATGGCACTTGGCTCGATTCCCTGCTAATGAATGTCATTTACTTTTCCAAACGAGGATTAATTATCGACCGAGGACCTCTCTGTCCTCCCACAGGGAGCACGTCGCAATTAGCTGCTAAAAGATGGCTGCTACTATTTGTGTTTTTTTTTTTTTTTTTTCTTCTTTTAAATGTGTCTATATGTACGTAAGTGTGCATATGTTCCTGCGACATGGTGAATAACCTCCCAATTAACTGTCTGTGGTGCTGCAGAGAGATATCCAGCAGGGGAAACGAAGCAGTTTAATGTCCTTGCCTCGATCGGATACAAGGTTTTTGGTTGGATGTCGGTGTTGGACACATTGTTGTTGTGAAACTAGAGAAACTAAAGAGAGTTGTGCTGATTTGGAGCCAGCCTCCTGGTTGCAAAATAAGGCCAGGAAAACAAACACGGGCCTCAAATTAGATTTCCCAAAACATTGCATTCCCTCTCATTTTACACACCGCTGTGGCCTGCAGACCAGAATAGAATAACTTATGAAATCCACTTCAGATTGAGAACGGCGCTGTCACTGGATCAATCGGATGACCCCCATCAGAAGAGTCTAAGAGTCTTACATGATTTACATACTTTAGGCATGTTGCTATTAAAAAACGACTTTTCCCCATTACTCTCGCTCTTTAACGCTCACGTCAAATCCACCCGTCTCTCCTCACTCCTTCCCTCCCACTCTCGTCCTTTTTTCACCTCCGTCAAATTGGCTCTCCTTGCGTGGGCCATGTGAGCTGATACACTTAGCCCAAATGAAGGAGCCGATGGGGATAAGGGTTATTTCTGTCGACGGAGGCACCGTTTGAGGTGTGGACCCCCTCCCGAGAACCTGGGACTTTGATAATGCTCCAGAACTGAAAGGGTTAAGTTCAAGAAGACCCCAATTTCTGAAGGAGGAACATAAAAAGATCCGTCCTGCCGGGTTTAAACATTTTCAGTACATATGTGCATTTTCAGTTTAGTTTTATTTGTTTTTTTATTTCAAGTTGTCAAGTAGCTTTTGACCAGCTGACCAAGGTAATTTGACTTATGATTTAAAGTGACGGTGCTCCTTAAGGATGAAATGTGTATCATTATGTGTCACAGTAGGAGAATAGTTAAAAGAAATCTTTATATAAAAAAAAGAAATCAAAAAAAGAGGCTTAATATAAGTCACAATGAATTATGTCAATGTTTTGTTTTTTTTTTAGCTTTTTTGAATCAAATACATTCCCACCTGCTTAGTCAGCAAGAAGCTGGTCAAGGTGAGAGCAGCCACGCAAAAAAGAAACCGGGGGCTTGTGTGTCAGACCTGCCCACAGAGACGGGCGTTATGATAATGGATAACTGTGAGAAAAGCTCGGAGGGAGGGAGTCTAGAAGAGGTGGCACTGGGACACGTACTATGCTATAGTCATCCGCCTTCCCCCCCCCCCAATTCCACCATGTTTTATGGCTAGATTCTATTACTGCTCCCTGGCTCACCTCGCAGTGTGAAATGGGCAAGTCCCGACTAACCTCCTCACCCCACCCCACGAGCTTGCAGACACACGTGAGCGCAGCCAAGAATGGCGTTGCTGTTTGGGTCTAAACACGTGGAAGGTTTATGAACTGCTGAGTGTGTCATTTGAAATGCGGTCGTTCAGTATGTCACAGTGCTTGAGGAAATGTCTGTGAGTACAATCAAGCATGTTGTTTACGATTTCCTTAGAGATGGACTTGTCGTTGGTGCGTACTTTACTGTACTGCTGACGTTACATCTACATTAGGAGGCAAACCATCGAAGGGCCCCGTGTTTGCTCAGTGGAAATTTGCAATCCTAAATAATATCAAATATTCCAGCATTCCTTCATCACCCTCCAATCCCTTTCTACCTTCTTTTAACCAGTGTCGTTGGCCCTTTTCTTTCTCTCTGGGGGAGGGTGGGGGGAGGGGAGGGTAGGGGGGGGGCGCTCCAGGCTGCAGCAGGTTTAGCAGGTTCTGAGGAGTGCGGGAATAATTTTGGATCTGCTCCGTTTCATCATCTCCCGCTGTCAGAGGTTTTGTTTCTGAAGCAGGAGCCTAAACACTTTCTTCCTCGGATGATGTGTCACAAGTGGCACTTTGTTGAGCAGTTGTGTTCGTCTCCGGCTGTTTTTACACAGTGGAAATGAACGTGGATTAGCGCAGCGAAGCAAGTTGTGATCTCTGTAAACCAGGGCTTTGTCAGAACTTGTATTCTTGTTGTGTAGTGTTTGTGTTCGCTCCAGTTTGTGATTTGTTACTTAATGTGGGAGTTCCCACAGTGTCACCCAGCCACTATATCCATGTGGACATAAAATGTAACACAAAACTTGTATTTAGTTTGAGGACCATGACCAGAAACTATGTGCATATTTGTAATTTAGATATATATAATGAACATACATAGTACATTTCAAATAATTTATACTGTTTAAATTCACCATTTTGCAGTGTCAAAATACGGGCATGTGCAGGAAGTGTTATCAGGTGAAGCAGGTATGGGAAAGTGGATATGGGTAAAGTAAAGGCACACCTGTCTTCTATATACTATAGATATACTGTGGTGAGTAGAAGGTGCAGTAAGTTAACCCAGTAGTCATTCAGTACACGTCTTCATGCAGCTTTGCTTTGGAATAGGAACCCTTTTGACACATAACTGTTTGTTACTTACTCAAACCCCTTGAAACTACCTGTGTAGTTCAAAGGAGAACGTTGTCAGAACCTGTGGAAGTGGATGTGAAGGAGATGAACTGTTTTTTTGCAAAGTGCCCGTGTGCATGAGGTTTAAGTGAATAAACAGATAAATAACCACCCGCCCTTGTAGATCGAGTCCCTCTGGCCATGGGCCAAAAACAGGTAATTCCTCCGGCATAGTTTTTGGAAGGGCCACAGCAAGCCAAGCCTGCCTCAGCAGTCAGACTGTCTGCACATTTCTGCCGCTGATGGCATACCAGGGGCGCCATTTTCCTCCCTGAGACAGACAAGCCAGAGCATCTGATTGGCCTTCCGCCAAAGCGCACTCACAAAGGCTCCTTTGACAAGCGGGTCAGTTGGTTAACCAAGCAGTAGGGAGAGAGGGATAAGCCAGAAAAAAAAACAACTCTTCTTCACCTCTTCACCCGTAAGCTTCATTGAAGGGTTATTCACACTAAAAAAAGATGCATCCTCCTATTTGTCAAAGATTATTAAAACAAACACAGTTTCAGTGAGTTGTTTTTTTGCATTAGAGGCTCTGTAGACATTCAGCTCTCATTGATGCTGCCTGTATACAATTCATGGGTAAACATGACCTACGCTAGTATGTACGTTTTTTTGTGTTAGCCTGCATCTTCTGGGACATCCAGTCCTGACAAACGCATGCCATAAGCATTTACAATGTCAATTCTTCTTGTCTGAAATAATTAGATTATAGAAGTTAGTTTATCAAAACAGCCCCGGTGACAACGGTATTTATTACAAACTTGGGAGAAATCTTCTGAAGTAAGTGAAAGTTCTAAATGTACAGAGCAAATGGAAATGTCTTGATGTAACTTGCCATCTAATACGTTAATATTGAGTCTGCATTTTGACCAAGATTTAAAAAAAAAAAAAAATGCGCTCAATCATTAGCTCATCCTTGTTTTGATGCTGATGGAGCCTCACATCTTATATCATAAAGCTGTGTAGGAGCTGACACGATAGCGCTAAATAGCTGCTGATGTTCTCCCGTGTGCTCCTGCGCTCATTATCTCCCCGGTCCAGGCCTTGCTTCTCTGCTTTCTCCTGCCGCCCATCTCCTCCCCTGTGTACCAGCCGCTTTGCATACGACTGATGTTTAAATGCTGCATTGTTAACTGACGTGGGGTAGCCCTTTGCTGACCCGGGAGGTATTTGCTCGTTTGATCATGGGGCAGCAGTTTTAATGTATCGAAGCAGGCGCCGCTCCGTAAAGCCCCTGGTATAAGTGGAAGATGGAGGACGAAGGCAGGACGAGGGATCCATTGGTTGCAGGCCTGACAGTACAGAAGGAAGGTGATTATTAGAATATCTGTTGGTCAGCAAGGCCAGAGGGGATGCTGCTGACCCTGCACTTCCAATGTTGCTGTGATGGTGGGTGTTGGTATTCCTGGGGGGTGTTGCGAGGGTTGTGTCAAAGACCGAGAACAGGGCTCTATTGATGAGCAGTTTCAATATTTTCCATCACAGTTTTTTTTTTTAGAAATGTTTGAATATGAAAGTTTGTTTCAGTTCTTGTTTGTCGTCCTGCTGTCTGTTTTGCATCCTCTGAAATGGACGTCTCACCGCAGCCACAAGGGATTTCTTTTCATTCCCAAGGAAAAAGATTTGCACAATTTCTTTTCACAAAGTTAATATTTTTGCTCGGAAATGTACCTGCTGCCTTTTACATCCAGCCGTCAAATCGATGCTACAGTTCAGTTATTGGCCTGAGTTTGTCACAAAAGACAGGAGGAAGGTCACAAAAACAAAACGAAGCCCCAGTGTCTGTGAAAACCACCTTGCCGTCACGTCTGTGTCACTGGGCACAAGGATCCCACTTCGCCAGCCCGACAACACAACTGAAAGAAGTGTTGAGAAAAAGCAAAAACAATGACATAAGCTGTGTACAAGTTTGTGTTTACACCTTGGGACCTGTGTATCAAGACCCTGCTTGCGCTGAAGCTAACCAGGCTCTGGCCCCTCAAAAGAAAATATTGAACACCCATACACCCTTCTAGCCTTTTCTCTTACCCTTCTTTGCCCTTTTTTCTCTGTCTATCCTCTCCTTTTCTCTTTGTCCGTTTCATGTGGGAAGTCTCTCAGCGGCAGTGACCATAGATACCAGGGGGGGGAACCCAAGTAAGAAAACCCACTTCGCTCGACTCGATCATTAATATTTAACGGACAGTTCCCCCATGAATTTGCCATAGCATTTCATAGTGGGCTTGTGATGTGCTGGACATAAGGCTACAGACGGAGATGATGTGTGTCCACATGTGCCATGTTTGTGTGTTTGTCAGCCTCGCAAATGTCACACAAAGTCAGAAGGAATATCATGCCACTGTGTCATTATTAAGGTAAAGATTTCACACCGTTTCCTTCAGATTCCCTCCTGAATAATCATGTTGACACTCTTTAGGTGAACTCTCTCCTTCTATATCTACATTAAGCACCGTGGAGTCCTCTTGAGATCTCACAACTCGATTCTGCAAATATGGATTGGCTCTTGCGTTTCCAAAAGTCCCAAAGCAGCCCAACTGCCCCTTGACTTTTGAACTACGGTTCACAGGAAAGCAGAGGTGAAGCCGCAATCTGCATCTCTCATGGTGCCTCACGCCCACACTGCAGAGAGAGAGAGAGAGAGAGAGAGAGATATGAGTTTACCTCTAGCGGTGGAAGGAATAAAACGTATTGAAGGAGAATTCAGCGCTGTCATCGCCGGCCCTCAAAGTTCATCTTCCTCTCTTCCGGTTGCCCCGTATCTTTTTTCCCCACTTCTTCGCTTATTCTGGGCAATTGCGGCTAAGTGGATAGCAGGGCCGTCTTTCAATCAGAGGGTCGGCGGTTCGAACTCCGGCTCCGCTAGTCGCATGTCCTTGAGCAAGACACTTAACCCCAAAATTGCTCCCGTAGCTGTGCCTACGGTGTAGAAATGTGATAGACTCTGAATTGTAAGTCGCTTTGGATAAAAGCCTCTGCTAAATGACTGTAATGTATTCTTCCTTTTCTTCCCCTCCTCTTTTTTTTTTTTTTTTGCAAAAAGCTCACCCCGCATGGCTGCAGGCCCTGATTAGCAGGGCTTCAGAGCCCACAGTCTATTGATCGGGCCTCCAGAGCACCAAGCAAATGTAGCTGGAGCAACAAGTCAATAACACTGTTACCGCAACAATCCCGTCACACTGGTGGCTTTCCCCCCCACACACATTCCCAAGTGCGTATTTTTCATGGGTTGGAGGAGATATTTGGCAGTGAGGCAGGCAATCATGGGTGTAACTCAAAGAGCCTGGTGTGCACACTTGCTCTTTTTCTCTTTATAAACCCCTTTTTCT